CCGCGCTCCAGAGCAGCAAAAACCTGGAAACACAAGAGGAAGCAAAAAAGAGCAGTGCTGTGGGTGCCAGCCAGCCGTGCCACGGTGGCAGCCAGCTGTGCGGCACGCGTGCCCGCTCACACCCTCCCAGGCCAGAGCGCTGCCGTCCAGGCCACCCCTACGCAATCACCTTCTTGTGCTTCTCCTCATCCTTTTCCCTCTATTCCCAGCGCAATTTGGATTTTAAATTAAACATTTTTAAGCCCAGCGTAGTTTAGCAATATATTGAACAGCGAGGATGATTACGGTTGGGAACATTTTGATTTAGCTTTGCGTGTCCCATTGCAAGTGTCTGCACAGGGTAGCTGCTGCCGCGGGGCGGACCGGGGAGCGATGGGCGGCAGCACCTGCGGCCAGGCCCCAGCTGCGCCCCGGCACCGCTCCTGGTCCCCGGCTCCGCTGGGCACCACAGCGCTGGAGGCACCGGGCTCAACCCCGCCGTGTGTCTGACCTCTGCTGCGGCTCAGAGCTGGCACAGCAAATGAGGCGTCCTTGAAAACACAACGTGTGAGCTTCCTTGGGTCCTCACTCCGTGACAAGGAAGAAATACCCCTCTCATAAGAGTAGCAATGCACTCAGTGTATTAAAATACTCTGGTTTCCTGCTAAAATGTTATCATTTCTGTGGTGAGGAGCAGTTGTTGCAAGAAAGTGAAATGCTTCTTGCCCAGGCACATCTACAGGCAGATACGTGTATGTGTATGCACATATGTATGTATATACCTGCACAAATGTAGTGTGCAGGGATGCACAGCACTAATGAGGACCAGAAATCCACATTTCCAAATAAAACAATGTAATGTCTCGGTTATGCGTAGCCTTCGGGGTCCTAGATTGCCCTCCTGAAGGCTGTTCGTGGCCAGCATGCCTTTCGGGGACCAGCCCCTTAAATTTGGCCGAGGGGTGTGCATGCTCCTTGGGAGTTAGCTTGGCTCTGGGGGCTGCTGCTGCTGCTGCGGTGGCGCTTCTTTTTCCTGGCTGGTGAGTGTTTCTCAGGCCTGTTGCTTCATTTGCCTTTGTTGTTTCTGAGAAGTATGGGGAAATTTGTCACTTCCTTTCTCTTATTAACTACCATAGAGTTAATTTGGTGAATTGTTTGGCGTTGTGCAAGAGTTGGTTACCTTCCTAAATGACAGTATGTATACATATATATATGTGTGTGTGTGTGTATAATGCACTGTTCTCTCTTTTTCCTTTCTGAGTGATGCCTTTTTACTTTTTTGAGTGATGCCTTTCTTTGGTTTCAAACATTTTTATTTATGGTTCAGCAAAGTTTCCTCAGGTGATTGCTGCTGTGCTGTTTACTGCTGGTCACTACTTCGGGTAGCTCTGAAGACCCTGGTCCCAGGCAGGAGTTGGTGGGCTGCAGGAGTTAAGCACAAAACAGAGGGCCCTGCAGGATTCAGTTGCTGAAGGCTAATAAGACTAAAAGACTGAAATAATTATTTTTTTATAGAGTTGAGATTTTGGTGGTGTTTTGTGTCTTTAAGTTCAGGCAGCCCCAGCTGTGTGTGCTTTATTTGATTGCAGGCCAGCTGGTGGCAGATCCACACTCACGCGTGAGCTGGAGATTGTGTGTGCAGACCCCACTGCTCCTTTCCTGTGAGTTTCATCTGCTTCCCACAGAGTTTATGTAGACCAGAGAAATGCAGTCCGATAAAAACATTCAGCTGGGGAATGGTTTTGAAAACAGTATTTCAGGCAAAGCTGGCACTTGCTTCTATGTTGGTGCATTAAAGTTAGTGTTTGGTATGATACAGTTTAATAGAAATCTGAATAATTCAGTAGACTTCTGACAGCTGATTTGTTTTGCACTGAATTGGGATCCATGCAGGACTGGTAATACCAGTTAAAGTAGACGCAGAATTTTAGCGGAGGGTTATGAAGTTATGTTAACAAGCGGAAAGCTCAAATGAGAGGTAACCTTAAAATAAAAAGGAGAGCTTGCCTAAGACTTAAGCTTTTTCTTAAGGTAAGTTTTACCTGAAGTTTAGTTTTGAGGAGAAGTTACCGGTGTTGGTCACTAGGGTCACACCAGTGTCCCCGAACTGCTGCTGGTGGCTGGGGAAATGCTGCCGTGCCCGTGCTGTGCTCGGGTGCTTTGCCCTAGGTGTGTGCTGCTGGCTGCTGTCGGAGGCAGGACCCTGAGCCGAAGACCCCTCTAACCAGGGATATTTGCTCTTGTGTGAAGTCTACTGTGGTTGGCAGGCAGGAGTTAATCCTGATGTGATTAGCCAATACCCAGAGTCTTCTAGGAAACGTTTGCTTTTAAATTACCACCTTTTATCATATGTTTTGCAGAAGGACTTAAGAGTATGGCTTACCTAGCAGAAAATAACTGTCTCAAATTGGCTATAATTAACTTAACGTGATACAGAACTGAAACTTCTTATGGGCATAACTGGGTTTCATATGTCCACGCTATCAGTGCTATGCATACCTTGATAAATCGAGTTGTGAGCCCAATGGCTCAAGGTGCACTTTGTTTCCTTGGCAGTACCTGATACTGGGACGTCTTGCAGAGGGCGTCTGACCTTTGCTGGAAACTCACAGTTTGGCTTGAAGCAGACAAGCGTCAGTTGTGCTGTGTGTGTAGCTACTGGCCCAGCTCTTTAAGTGGAAAATGAGGGAACTGGTCTCCTGAGGGTTGATCTGTGTAACTGAGGATGTCAGGGGCTGACCCCTACCTGACAAGCTTTCAGAATTGCTCCGTACTTCACAGCACTAGAAGAATCTGAGAAGTTAAATCTTCTCTTGTTGCTGGCAAAGAGGCAATTAGGCCTTTAGAGCAAGGCTTGAGATGGCTGAGCGTAGAGAAGAAGGAGATGCAACCGTTCTTGTCTGTGCTTTGGTGAAGACAAGCCCGGTGATGTTTGCTCCTCAGAAGTGATGCTTGTTGTGCTCAGAAAGTCCAAGTGTGCTGGAGTTCGTGTGGCAAATTCAAGCTCCTGCCTGTGCCAATGGCAAAAAGGCCAGTAAAATAACCTCTGTGGGCGTTTTATTGGGTGCAAGCCGTAGCTGTGGGTGATGAGCATAAATGTCTGCTCGCTGAAGGTCTCTGCAGCGGTTTTCATTGTTGAGTCTGATCCAAAGTCCGTTGACGTTAATAGTTACATTCCCATCAGTTTGACTGTTTGCTAGATAATGTCTCTAATTTTTCCCATTTTAGAAACACTCTGGAATAAGTGACAACCTGTTGTCGGGGTTGCTACTCTTAGGCAGGTGTGACCTTCACTGGAAGGGTGGGTCGTCCCTAGATCGAAGCTGGATTTTATGCAAACACCTCTGTGTACTAATCTCTCAGCTGAGGAAAGAAATGAGCAGCATAGTATGATCTGGATCTTGAATAGAGACAACCTAGCAGATTCAGTACAAATAGTTCTCAAACCTATTTTTGGGTTGTGCCTGTGCTCCAAAGAGCATCTTGCATTATGTATAAGCTAACATGGGATCAGAGTGGCTTGTAAAAATAGTAAATCAGTGTGTGCTGTGCTTAGGCATCATTAACAAAAGCAAACAGTTTGAAGTAGAAACTGCTCTACACTTCATCTTATGGTAGAAAAAGCTGAATTACTTCAAAGAAATTACACTGTTATTAATATTACCTTGCATTACTGAAAGAATTATTATTTTTGAAAACTTCAGGCTTTGCAGCAATGAAAAAATGGGAATATACAAGTATACTTGAAGCATGTTTTACTTGCAGTCTGGTATGACATTTATCAAAGCTTTGGGTTAGAGCTCTCTGCTGCCTTCAATACTTATGATTTATGCTAAGAACAAGATATGTCCAGTCATCAATCACTGCAACTAATGTAGCTGTTTTCCCCAGCAATGTTATTACTGAGCATTCAGAAGAAAGTTGTATTCATCAGAAATGTATTAGTGAGGTTTTTCATGAAGCTAAACTTATTCATTCTCTTCTGCAAGGATACATATTAAGCCTATTATTTACTATTTTGTGTAATAGTCTTTTTATGACCTGTAGAAACATGAAAATCCATATGTATGCAAATGCACCGCAGTCAATTACTCTGCTCCAGCAGTACAGGACGTGATAAATTTCCTGCAGTTAGTCTGCTCATATACAAATGCTATTTAAAACCCAGATGATTTCTAGATGAAAATAAAAGTGAGAAGTCTGCTGTCTGATTTGAGATCTGTCCCTCTGAATTTGCTCCCAGGCCTGTCAGCTGTCCAAGAGCCGGGAGCTGCCGGGCTCTCCTTCCCTAGCCGGCGGCCCGCGAGTGAGGCAGGCGCGATGTCCGTTCTGCAGGATAATCGTGCTTAATTTCACCCTCTCTGCTGCTGCTTGCAGTGATGACTTCGGGTGTCCTGTCAAGGGTTCCCAGTGGGGTTGTCAGTCCCCGGCCTGGGTTGTGCCTCTGCCGCACAAGAGCCAGCGCCTTGTTCTTCTTGCAAATCCCTTCTCTACTCCTTTTCGCGTTCTGTTCATAGCTGTGGATTATTAGTTGTGTGTGCGCTGTTTTTTGTTTTTTTTTTTTTCTTTTGCTGCTCCAGCTCAATTTGCCTTTTGGAAATGCTCAGTTTAACCCCAAAGGTTCTGATATCCTGGATGAACGCTGCTATGTTTCTTTCTCTTTCTTCCGACTTTGCTCTCTGAACAGGAATTGCCCAACAAAAAGTCGGGTTAAGACTGTAAATAGACTGGTAAGTCCAAGCAATGTCCTTGTAGGCTTGTGTGGGCTTTTATTTATTTATTTTTCCTTTAGAAACACAAGGCAGCCCAAGTGTCTGAAAACCCGGGTGGACGTTCCAGCTGGCATTGCTGCCCTGGATGGATAGTTAACTCCTGCCTTGAAGCTCTTTTTGCTGAGAAGTAGGAATTTCTGCAATTGTGGATACACACTGTGTGTGTCTTGTTTTAAACTCCTGAAAATGTACTAGTTAAAGGTCAGGACAAGGGTGTAAATGGCCGGAGCATCTCCTCTTGTTTCTCAGCGCTTGCCGACTTCTCGTGGCCTCTGCGGTCTGAGCAGGGCTGAAGGAAGGCCGGCATGGGGGGACGCCCGCGGGCCCTGGCTGTGTCTTTGGCTCCCGTTTGTCCTGGAAACTGTTCCCAGGCCTTAGCCGAGATCTCCTCCCCGGTTGTGCCCGCTGCCTCCTTTGGGGCTGAGCAAACTGCTCCCTCCTCCGGTCGGCCGCCAGCCTCAGCCGGGCACAGCCGCTGGGCGCTGCTGCTACGGCGAGCCCCACAGTCTCCGCCTGCCTCTCTCACCCTGCTAACTTCTTCCGCAACTCGCGTTCAGAGACATATCTGACGTTTTGCTGTTTCCAAGGAAGTCTTTGTTTGAGAATGACTCCCAAATCTAGGGTTTATTACGCAGTCTGGTGGGCTGATACTTGTGTCCTGAGTCTGCTCTGAGGTGAGACCGCGGCTGCAGCTGCAGGAGGCTCCAGCTCACTCGCTCTGCGCATCCCATGCCGTGGGGAAGCTTTTGAAGAGCACCACGAGTGGCAAAGGTACAGGGTCCCGCTCCACGGCGAGCCGGTGACGGCTGCACGCCCTCCTCTTCTTGGCGTCTGAAAACCTTTGCCTTCCGCCCCAGGTGGTTTTACCAAGTTTCCAAGTGTTTTAATGGACAAGGAGGGGGAAAGGAGAGGGAAGTGCATCTCTGCGTAGCCGAGGCTGCTGTTTGTGGTCTGTCGATGCGATGTGGGAGAGCTGGAAGATGGAGTCGGAGGCTTTTGCAGCTGACTTGTATCCAGAGCTTCATTTCCTAGAAACTAGAGTGGCTGAGCTGCAAAGCTGACTGCATCTTTGGTTATTTAACCTTTTGGTCTCTGCCTCAGCGTTTAAAGAACGGCTGGAGCACTTCCACGATCTGCATGAATTTAAGATTTTAATTTTAAGATGAAAAGTGTTTCAGGAAATTTGGGTGGAAAGTCTCCTTGAAATGTAAAATCCAACCACTTTTTTTGCTTCCCAACCCAGCTGCTATTGTAGATAACTTACTTCTGCCATGGATCTGGTGATGTTTAGCTGCTGTGGCTGTTGTTAATTTTGACACGTTTGTTAAAACTTAGTTTGTTTTACCTTAACTGAGCTACTGTAATTGGATTCAAGACAGAGCTACTCTTCTGCAGCCAAAATTTGTGTGTTAGGTCAGGAAATGGTTTTATTCTGCTTTTTCCTTTTTTCAGTTCATGTTCTTTCAACACACTTAATGGTGTTGCTTAAATACAAAAAATTAAATAAAAAATCAAAAATCGCAAACAAGTATCAGTTCACAGGCAGTAACTGAACTGTAATAATGTAAGGGTTGTTATGGTCAACTAGTGAATCTTTGTTTCTTATACCTGATGCAGGAAAATGTCATATATAGGGAGGGTTGGTGGAGAGGATGGGGCAAGGGCTCGACGGCAGAGGGGAGTGAAAGAGGAAATGTCTGGGTTGGGGTAGGTGCCTCACCTGCTCCTGTAACAAAAATATTCTCTGTTAATAGGCCAAACCACCGCAATTTGCCATTGGGACAACTTTTCAGAAAATCATATGGTGTGCTAAATTGATAGTCTTTGCTGTAGTGAGGATAAATCAGAAGAGAAGAGTGAGCATCTCAGAAGATGGAGTGTTTCTCTTTATTAGGGGAGGCTTCCCAAGCTGCTGCTTTCGGCTCAAAGACCTGGGTATGAAAGTATTGATAGAGGAATGTGCACGTTTGAAGTAGAAAATTGAAAATACTTGTAAATGTTCCCAGAAGCTGCAGGCTTTAGGTGGTTGCTCAGCAAAGAGCAGCAGGATGTAATCCCAGCTCTCAGAAAAAAGGCATTGATCTCTCTTTGCCCAAAGAGAGCTTTCTGAATTCCTTTTAAATTAACAGTTGCCCCAAAACATACCTGAAAGTTTCTTATCTAAGGCAGCCCTTTGTCATACTTACGACATGGTTTTATTCTCTTGGGAGTAAAGGTGAAGTCATTTGGGAAGTAAGGCTTTAGAGCATTATTTTTCTTCAGGTGGCAAGGTCATACTTTTCTGATACTGCTTGTGCAATGTCAGTCTTTTTAAAGAAAAAAAAACCAAAAATCCCAACCCAACCTACTGTCTGGGAAGACAAAGTCCCCCGCTTAGGGAGATGACTTAGTCGTCGTTCTGTTCCTAGATAAATGGTGCGCAGTGATCAATGAGCAGCAGTACATTTTTCGTAATAATCATATAGCTTGACACCTGCTGCTACAGTGCAAGTTCTCTGAATATGGCTAAGAGTGAGCTGAGGAACAACTAAATCCAGGATTAATTTTACTCGTTTTTTTTTTTTTTAACTTGCGTCTTTCCTTCTATCCTAGAAAGCAAAATTCATTTGTTTTTGTCAAACTGCAATGGTGAAAACTGACTTTTGATCTCCTTTGCAGTGATATCAATGGGACAGCACTTCTGTTTTTTTGCAGCATTTTGTGCTGCTTCCTCTTTGGTGGGCCTTGCTTGGGCACCCTATCTGGAGAAATAATGCTGGGGCGGGAAGCTGCCGACCCCTCGTGACAGCAGGGGTGTCTGGGGAGCGAGGGCCTTGCTGCGGCAGCTGGCTCCTGCTTGGCGGCACCGGGGCTTGGGAGGTCGAGGGGCGATGCTGCAGCCGTGCACGCTTTGCATAAAAACAGCACTGCCTTGGCTTTGCCAAAAAAAAGTCAAAACTGTACTGGTAGAGGAGCTGTTTCGGCATTATCACACTGAGTAGAAGCTACGCTTTCTGCCACACATGCGTCTCTGCGTCCTGCTCCCTGATGGGAAAACAAGCTCGAGCAAAGTCTTAGGAAAGATGAGCTGAGGGTTTCAGTTAAGGTGACGGAGTCAATGTTTTTATTCCCTCAGTCTGTGCTGCGTTGACCGTGTAATTATTTTATGCAAAGTGGGACAGAGTTTAAAAAACGGTTCCTTTGAAGAAACATGAATTTTTATGAAAATGAATGTAGTGTAACAGCTTAAATCTGATAAGCATCAGAAAGGTACCTCAAATCTGGCATGCTTTCCAATGCTGTCTGTGCTCAGGGGAAGGGTGCTGAGGTGGCCGCGGTGAAACGTGGCGAGCACGAGAAAGGGGACGGCCCGTGGGAAAGGTGCGCCGGAGCCTGCCTTTGCTCCTGCCGCCCATTTGTTAGGTCAACGTCTGGCTGAGCTGTTACCAGCCTGTTTTCCATATCAGATGTGAATGAATATTTTTTCCCCCCTGCTCCCTGCCTCTGGTTTGCACATATTAGGCTTTTTTTTTTCACAAATAAAAGACCAACACATTGCCCAGCCCGTTTACTTGCAAATGACTAAATTGGCCAAATGTCTAGGTGCTTCTCTGCTGAGTTATGAGTACAGGTCAGCACACAAATTTTTCTTTTTGTCAATTGTACAATAAAATATGCAGTAAAGTATAAAATGAAGACCTCTTCTGATTTGTCCCTTCTCCCTTTGCCACACTATTGTTAGCGGTATTTTCAAAGAGAAATCATTTCCTGAGCTAATGTTTTCCCCTCTTTGTATTTTGCTGTGATGTTATTTTGTACCTTTGCAGTAAACGAAGCAGTGCTCCAAGCTAGCACTGTAGACCAGGGACACTTCTGTAGGCAAATTTGGCTCTTGAACAATTTTCTGTACTCTCCTGTAGGAAGATCTAGTAACGTAATGTCATAGAAATATTTGCTGCCTTTTGTACTGAGAGTTAAAGGAGGGGTTTTGGCTTATGACAAGTAGCTCCAGTCTCACTTCTCTGATATGTGAAGCTCCTCAGATACCAAGTACTAATAATTCATGGCACACATGCAAGAACACCACCCTGGCACAGCATCATTTCTAGCGTTGTTCTTTCCTGTCATTGATTTAACTGAGTCAGAGCAGTGAGTGAAAATGTCTGCTGCCTTCATTGAGAAGGCAGAATCGGGGGCCTCGTGTAGGAGCAAGTGGGTATTTTTAGTGAGAATAGAAATAACGACTTTATGAAAGCATTTTATTGACAAATACTCTCTTTCATTTCTGAATTAGATGTCTTTGCCTCACTAAATATTTAATATAAACGTATTTTCAAATGACTGTAAAGAGATATGGTACTTACCCAGCTAACCCACCAAAAATCTCTGTGACGTAGGAATAATCCCCTCCTGATTTAGGGATAGTTACTCCTAGTTCAGCATAACATAATGATCCAAGAGCAGCGATCCCTCCTCCGAGCACCCAAATAACGAGCGCGAGTCCCACAGAGCCGGTGTGCTCCAAAACTCCTTTTGGTGAAATAAAGATTCCAGAACCAATTATGTTACCTGGAATAAAAAAATGTTTTGCAGTGAGGTAAAAGAAAGCAAGTTTTATTTTTGTTTTTAAGCTCTTTGAGGTTTTGTGTGACTGTATTTTATCTGATTAAGCCCTAGGGAACGTGTTTCAGTTTATCAGAAATCAAGTAACACGAGTGTGTTCTCAGATCTGCTGAAGCACTTCAAGAAGCCGTTGCACGTCTGTTTATAACATCTGTGTTTATAAGAAGTGGTTCTGTGGCACAAATTCAAACAGTTCCAGATCTAATGTCATCCGATGTGACCACATATTGTATCTAAGAGAGTTAGAAATGTTGTGCTTATAATGAAGATTGTCTCATCTCTTCCTATGAGGAATCTGAAAAAGATAAGGCCCATCTTCAGGGAGGATGGGAGTCCAAAAAAATATAGTGTTATTTGTAATGTAGTGGCCAAGAGGAGCTCTAGCCGCAAGATTGTGCTTGGAAAGAAAAAAGTTGCCGTGAGGACAGACTGAAGATTGTGCCTGAGGAAAAAGTCACCTCAAAGTTTGAAATATTAAAAATCCATTAAAATTATTTATTTGTAATATATACTGTTTAGTCCCTGTCCACAGATCTTAAAGGGATAGTGTGGTGTAAGTAAAATATCAGACAAGTTGGGCTTTGTCCTAGTAATTTCCCTAGATTTGTATGTGAGCTGAAGTCACGCTGGGCATCGAAGAGGAAAGTTGGATATTGCAAACATTCCTCTTTCCTGTGAAGCCAAGGCCTGATCTTCCTCCCTGGTCAGGGGGGCCTGGCCTCTGTGAGCCCCAGAGAGGGTCAGATTTGGGAGGGAGAAATCTTTGTCAAACTTGAGGTTTTTGAGCAATATCTACATAGCACTGATCCTGTCAGTCCCAAAAGGACACAAAGACTCTTGTGTCGGGGGACCCTGCTGAAGGCTTTCTTCCTTTGAGTTGGTATTAACCAAACTGGCCAACTTCCAGCCTATGTTGAACTGCACTTTTTATCAGTGTGGCTGCAAAAACCATTGGGTGCTGGCAGCTGGCAAGCATCCTTCTTAAGAACTGACTTCCCAGCAACCTTCCCCGCCTTGTGTCTCATCAAATCTAAATTCTTCTCTTCCCATCTGGTTAAGAAATGCTTTTCCACTCGAGATGTTTAGCCTATGCCATAAGCAAACTCTGCTACATTGATGGCTTCAGCTCTGTCCTCCTGTTTCTTAAAGCGCTTTGGAAAGTGCAGATCACCGAACTGCTCTGATCTAGTCGTGGTCGGACGTAGCTATGTGTTTGCAGCATGTGTATTGAAGCAGATGCTCTATCTGGGGTTACAAATGAAATTAAGGTGGAAGATAGACCCCTTGCTGCAAGCGATAAGCAGGTGGCTGTGCTGCAGGAAGGCAGGGAGGGCTGAGCGGCTGCAGGGGCTGTGGCTGAGCCGATCCCAGCTGGGGGCCTGGCTGCTGGTGCAGCAAAGCAGCCTGTGCTCCAGGGGCTGCAGCCATGCGCACCCCGACCCCTGGGGACATGAGGGGTTGGCATTGCTTTGCAACGGCAAACCAAAGCATAATAATGCTTTGCTAAATGCTAAATAGTGCAATAGATGTGTTCTCGGGATAAGACAGCTGGATGTTTGCTGTGCCTTTTCTATTTGCTGACCTGAGAGCTTATGAAAGGCACTGCTCCTTACTAGTCCTGTGTCGGGTATAAAAGCAGTCTTTTTGATATTGCAGTTGAATGAAGTCACAAAGTGTCCCTCCAGGCAGTTTAATCGGATATGTAGCAGTTTAATGTTGTCCAAGCACAGCAGGAAGGAAATATTGATACAGATTAAATAAATTGTGGCAGATACCCCCCACCATGAGTTGTGAAATCAATTAAAAAAATCATGACATTAAAAGAATACCCTCTCTTTAAACTTTTCATTTTAACTGTTAAGCTTTTAGGATAGGTGAACCCACGTTCACCTTGTTAAGAATCCTTCAACTGACAGAAGAAGGCTAGAATCTTTTTTTTTTGTTTTGTTTTGATGAAAGCTGAGGAGATTAATAGCTGTAATTTTAAGAAACACACTAAATATCAACAGAATCTTGATAATGCCTTTAAAGCAAGATTATTAAATCATGTATGATGCCTGAAAACCATGTAAAAAGAAAAAATCTTTCTAGTATATTGTTAAAGGACACAGCAAGCCACTTCTGTAATTGGCTGCTCTTTGTCCTGCAACAATATTGAATCTGCCCTTAAACACTCTCCTGCCAGATGACACCCTCTGTGGAGCACAAGCTGTGGGGCACCTTTGTGCTGGGGATGAATTGGGCCCTTGTGTTATGTGTGGCACCGTTCCTCGCAGATGCAGTAGGGTGCCACATTGTTAGGATAAGGTAACCTCACAATATCTCATTAAAAAGTGGCAAAATCTAAGGCAGGAGCATGTTTGTATTCAGAAAGGAGCTGTGTGCGCGCCAAGAAATAGAGTAGAGGTAGGCAACAATGCTAGACAAGGTTCTCCTTCTGCTTTATACCCTAGCACAATTTCCACTGGATTGTAAAACTGAAAGTAGCCTTCTAAGATTGATGTTCTCACCTCCTCAAGAAAAGGAACTTAACATGCTGCTGCTTCTCTCAGTGAAGAGTGACTTTTGGCATAAGTAAGTATGTAGACAATAAGAATGCAGATTATTGAAAACAGAATTGCGTCACTTTTTAAATACTTGGATGTTTGATGATGACCTGCCAAAAAACTTCCTGTCATGCCAACAGACTGGACTGCCTGAAAGAGGATGGTACTATAGAGAAATCTGCTTCTGGATGACTCTATAGCCCAGGACACTAAATACCTAATTAACTTGCAAAAGGCTCTTTCCAGGGCAGGAGGGTCCCCTGGGAGGGCCAGCCAAGAGGGGGACTGCCCTACAAGCAAATCCCTCTGAGCAAGAGCTGCATGCAGGCTCAGGGAGCCCTTTTCCAGCACTGTGGATCCCGTAAGAAGAAATAGGAACAGATAAGACAGCATGATTATGAGCAAGGAAATTTGCAGGGGAAATACAAAAAAAAAATAGCCCTTCCTGCCCACAGTCTTCCTTGCTTTCACCCTTCAAAGAGTGAGGATTCCGCTGGAGAAAGAGGTATGGTTATGTGTGCAGCCTTGTAACAGCAAGGCAGGCCCTCTCTTCCTAGGGAGCAAACGTCTCCGCAGACAGAGTAGCAGCGGCAGGGAGCTGGCGAGGCTGGCCGCAATGTGCTCCCTCTAGTCTGGAGACCAGAAAATACCATGTAGGGTGGAGTGAGGGACTTGGGTTGTCTAGTCTAGACAGGGGGACGAACAAGGGAAGATAAATCTCTAAATATACAGAAAATATTTTCAATAAAGAAGGGGTTTTTTTTTAATATCCATGTTGCATAGATAAGATTAAGGCAGAAATAACTGGCTTAAACTGTAACATAGGAGATGGAGGGTAGAGCTTAGGGAAACCTCCACAGCGGTGAGATGTGGTGAGCTGTGGCAGAGGTTCCTGCAGGAAGGCTGGGGAGTCTCCAGCCTGGAGGCTCTCTGGTTAAGGCCAGATAACCATCCAGCAGGACATCTGTAAGCACATCTGATCTCGCACTGAGCAGGTAATTGGGCTCAGCCATCCTTCCCAGCCCAATTCCTCCAGGTCTGAGTTTCTGTTGAAGTTTTGGAATCGCTATTTTTTTGCAGCATTTGGTAATTCTGCACCTCCTGTGATGCCTGCAAGGAAACAGCTGCCTTTTTCATGCTGATTTCATCTTTTCCTTTGCCTAGCAAGCAATATTTTTTTTCCTGTGTCCCTTAAACAAAAGGCTGGTGGACTGTTCCTGTTGAGCTGCCTCAGCAAGGCATCGGGCAGGCAGGCAGCAAGGGGCCATATTGGCCACACAGGCCAGCTCCTGCCGGAGGCTGCCCTCAGCGCCTAGGTCATACTAGAAAAATGGTAAAATTCAATATATGCAGCCCTTCTTTGGCTGAAATAGTGCAGGCAGTCCTAATCACTGCTACAGCATTACAGCAACTTGTTCTGGATGGCTGTGTTATGGCCTGGATGAGTCGCACAGTATTATTCTCAGTGTTAATAACTTGTTCTGGGCCTTCCCTGCCGGGAAGCTGCACAAATGCAACGGAGCAGCAAAATCTTCCAGGGAGATAGATGAGAAGTTAGTATACTGCTAAAGCACATACAATAGTCCATACAATTTATATTTTTAAGCTTTGTTCATAATTTCTATTGCTGACTGAAAAGTTGCAGCATATTAAAAATGAATGAGCTTTTCTGGAAAGCTGGTTGTGTCCTGTTCAAGTTAAGCTGAAAAGGAAACAACTGTCTTGGGAACTTAAACTGTCTTAACAAAGACTCTAGTAATACCGTGTACTGCAGTTGTAACAATGCAGTAGATGAAGGAAAACCTTAAGTTATAAAGGATCGTGAAAAATATCAGCCAGCATAGATTTATATTTTTCACAGATCAATGTACCTGAAAATAATGCAATTTTGGAAGGAGCTGATGGTATTTTGGGAAGTATTTTGAATTTAGGACATATCTTTAGGTTCCAGTTTTCTCCTTGGAATAGGATGGTATTCCTGTTTTGGCAACCTTAGTATGAAACAAACAGAAATAATCCAAATACAGAATAACCTATAAACGAGTCCCCTGACTCTTCACATGCCTGCTTTTTATGCTCAGTGCTTTTACCTTAGTTCAGGTTCGCTGCTATTTTTGGTAGCAAACAGTAGATGAAAATATCCTTCGTTCAGCAAGCTCTTTGTAAAAGCTTCCACTCCCTCACTTATCTGTCATCGTTTCATTAGGTCGGTATACGTAGGAAATCCAAACGCAGCATGATATCCCTCAAACTGATCTGGAAGCAAAATGGAGATTTTTTTTTTTTTTTTTTTAAAACATACAGTGTGTGAGGCAGGGGTGTCTCTTTGGAGACCTGTGCTGGACTTGGCTCCCAGCTTTGGGGGGACCAACCCCTGCCCCGTGCTGGGTGAGGGAGGCA